AAACACATTTATCTATAATTTCATTTCAGAGTCATGTTTGAGGATCATACTTAACCTGAGTTTTCTTTTATGTTTCTTTTTACTCGTATTTCTCCTTTTTAGAGGCAAATATTGTCATTTTTCTCTCCACTGATAGTTTACATGTGTTACTATGAGGATCAATAAGAAATGTTTAGATTATAAACTGAAATGCATTATGGGTGAATTATAGATTAAATCATATAGATTAAAGTACCCAACACTAAAAAAAGACACTAAAATAAAGTTAATTTTGACTATTTTAAACAATTACATCATCATTTTTTGTAAGAATTATTCAGTAATAATGATGCACTAACAGGGGTCGCTCTGCTGCATAGTGATTACTTACTTCTTCTACATTTGATACTTTAGCGTCACACACTGTTAGCTTTGAATGCATTAGTAATTCGACATTAGTAAAATTTTGAACGCAGGGCTTTGGTGGAGTTACTAATAAAGAGGGATTGCTAGTTTTAATTTAGTGCACGATCTTTATTCTTTTTCCTACACTGCAGTAGACCTATATTTAGATCCATATCTCTCTGCAGTGTGAAACGACTTTCAGATAATCACTGATTGAGAGCAGCTTTAACTTTTGAGCGTTAAAGATTCCTATCACAGATACCTGCCAGCCAATCATCTTTTTTGGAGGCTAATGTGTAACTTTTAAAACATCTGTGACTCTCTTTCATAGGTTTGGAGTGACCTGTGCATATTATGGAATAAGCTTTAATGTAACTGGCTTCGGTGTGAACATTTACCTCACACAGTTCATCTACGGTGCCTCTGAAGTTCCAGCTAAGGTGTTCATCTTTTTAACCCTAAACAAAATTGGTCGACGGTTGAATCAAGCTGGAACACTCTTTATGACCAGCCTGTGTATCCTCTGCAGCATGTTTATCCCACCAGGTGATCAATTCATGTGTGAGCTTCTATACACCTGCAATAAGTACACCATTTCATTTGGGATTTAATGAATAAAAGTTAAATAAAAAAGGCTACCTACAGGGGCGGCAAGTTGTGAAAAGTACAATTATACATGTTGGGTCTTATATAATAAAACAAGGGAATACATGTAATTCCAGATGTTTCTCTTCTCAGATAAGGGGCCATTCAGGACAGCTGTGGGGGCTTTGGGCAAGATGTTTGCAGAGGGAGCATTTACGACTATATTTCTGTACACAACAGAGCTTTATCCAACTGTAATGAGGTCAGACAAGTATTTTATTTAAAGGTTTTATTTTGCACATGTAGAGGATCTATATCCACCAATTTCTTCCCAGATGCATATAGTAATTGTATCCTGGAGTCAGTTGTCCCTGTATACAATAACTCTTTGTGTATTTTATTACTCAGGCAAAATGGACTGGGTTACTGCTCCTTCATCGCTCGTTTTGGCGTGTCTGTATGCCCTCTCATCATGGTTCTTGAAGAAGTGTGGGGCCATTTACCAAATACTATTTTCGCTTTGGTGGCTTTTGTTGGAGGAGTGTCAGCCTCTTGTCTCCCTGAGACAACCAACGTCCGTCTACCAGAGACTTTAGAGGATGTGGAACGGACAAGGTATTGGGAGCTCTTTTTTTTTTTATTGCATCCAAAAATTCAAAAGAGTATTGAGTTACATATATATATATGTTTTGATATAAAAATGTATTTTTTATTTCAGAAGAAGATCAGTCTCCCCATCTGAAGAGAAAGCTCCACTGTAAATGTTTCTTTATTGCAACTTAGAGGAGATCTGTTGAGTTGCAGAGAATAAAAGCTGTGGTATTACAGTATGATAAAATAAAGAATAAGCAAGTAGAGGTTGACCTCTATAACTGTTTTTATCATATTACATTTTACAGTTTCACTAATATCTGATTGATTTTTGTGTCACACTAAACATAGTCATTGTTAACCCCTTCAGTCCAATGCACTCAACTTCTGTTTACTCTCTACCCTCAAAGGCAAACTGTACTGAAGCTGTTGTTAATCTCTTGTTTTTTTAACACAATTAAATCAGCATGTGAGCATCAAAGTTTGTTTGTATCCCTTTACTTAATGAGCTAATAGTGAAACTAAAACTAACTGTCCCTATAGAATCAGAATCCCCAATCCACTTAACTTAACATTTGTTTGTTTACTTCATCAATTGTTTTTCTATTAATCAGTTATGTGGTTCTTGAAGCCAAAAGATGCTGTCAGAGAAAAATAAAATACAGTTCAATTTCTTTATCCATCAAATGTTTATGAATCAATTTCATTTATTTAAATTGAAGAAAATTCAGAACAGTGTCACGGGTGTTTCAGAGTGTAATTGTCTCAGGCAGGAATCCATATAACATGATCATCTTTAAACTCTACCCCTCCTACTGCAGATGAAGACAAAAATTAAAAGAATGACACTCTATCTGACTGCTCATATAAGGGTCAATACAATTTTCTTCACAACAAAAGCAGACTTCTCTTGGCTCCCTTGGAATTTTCTGGATTGCTTAATCCCATATGAACGAACGCTGTGCCTCCTGTGGTACCCTTATCTAGCCCACTAGACATTGGTCTTAATAAATTGTTGAAAGATTTCAGAGGACCTCCTCAGCTTTCTTTTGTTAACTTATCTCTCCCAATCTGATGTGTATCAGGTTGTCTTTATGAAACTGCAGCTAAAAAGAGCTGATCTGATCACGCTGACTTCTATTAGGAAACATTTCAGAAACTGTTCTGATGCTACTGCTTAACTACCCCTCACAAACTGAACTAAAAGATCTGGAGTGCCCCAAGGTTCAGTTTTGGGCCCCAGGCAGTTGTTTAGAACATGTCTTTGTAGCTCTAGAATAATCTGACAGAGGAGATCAGGTCAGCTGAGTTAGGGAAACGTACATTTATCTGTTGTATCGTTGTAGCATGAGACCCTTTATTTGCATGTGATACTGACACTGAACACTAGGTGGCGCTTTGGCCTGTGGTGGGCAAAAAGCCAAGGCTCGAAGTGTATGAATGGAAAAACTATTATTTGACTGTGTTGGCTAACTTGGTGTAACCATGGATGTGGTTTAATGTCAGCTTTATAGTATTGGATTATTGAAGTCTGATATTGTGGATGAGTAGAAACGTTTCATATGGAATTGTTAGAAGATCAATGTATCAAAACTGGAAAAGTGCATTGAACATTTGTTTGTAGATTCACCAAGACTTCACATTCAGAATAATGCCAATTCATCCCTCAGTGGTTTTTTGTGACTATATTGAAGGGTTGTTTTTTTTTTAAATATGGAGAAAGAGCCTTTCCAGATTCTAATTTTTGTAGTTCTTTGATTCAATTTTATGACTTTTAAAATATGTTTTATTTCTTAATCTGTGGGCTAACAGTTTTATTAAATTATCTCTTATTCAAGGCTAAGGCTTGACTGACTGGAGAAAAAATCGCTGACCCTTACCACCAGTCTTAAAAAATACAGCTAATTAATAAATAGACCCTGTCCTAAACATTAAGTCTTTGCCCTTTTGTTTGAGTCTGGAGCACCACACATAGGACACTCGTTCAGTCATTCCTCAGTCATTACAAGACTATTTAAATAATGAAACATTCCCTTTTTACATTTTGAATACTCAAGCTTTGATTGGGGCTCTTTAAGGTGTCGTAAAATGCTACAGTATGTATTGCTGATATCTAACCTACACCTTTCACTCTTTACCCCAAAAAATAGGCCAAAGGTTGGAACAGGCTGGAATACTTGTTTGAACTGCATTATGTTTATTTAAAAAAAATCTCCTCTCATGGTAAATGATCGATTTATGTTTGCCTTTCTTGTAAAGAATAACGTTATGTGTGGCTACACTGTTACATCTTCAACAGCAACTTAACTCAGTTCAAATACCAACACATTTTCAAATCAAACTTAGAGCATGACAGACTATACACCAGAGGAAAAAAGGTGCTCCAATAGTTACATTTATACAAAATATGCTGTTAAAAAACAGTAATTCCTCACTGCTTTAAATCTAAAATATATTCATTTGACATAAAAAAAAAATGTTAATTCCATTAGGACAATGTTGAATATTTCAGAAGGGGTAATTTAATATTTTACCTATTCTTAAACAAGGTTTTATGAGGGTCTGTTCAAAATGTAATATTATAAAATAACTTACATGCTTGTTGATTACACCAAGAGTAGAGAACAGGTTCTCTGGTTGGTCTAAGTTACATTTATTGTAATTTCTCCTGATTCATGGTCCTTCTTCCCTGACACCGGATGAGATGTAACACATCTCACAAGGTGTGTCTGTGTCCCTTGTGATCATTGTTTTTGAAGAAATGTGGCTCCCTCTACCAAGTAAATGTTTTACTACACAAACCACTGAAACTTGAAACAGACAAAGAATTGCACCTCCAGTTGGACAGAATTTTAACTGAAATAAAAGAATGCGTTAAAGTCAAGATTCAACTTTTTCTAGTGATTTAGAAAACCATGAATGTGGAAAGTTTAATTGTGTTTTATGGCAAGAAGACTGTCTTTATTAATGTTGATGTTTAGGAAGAAGAAAATGTTACATAAGAATAATGTGTAGGTTAGTTGTTACACAATTCTTCTGTTTCTGTCTAATGCAATAAAGAGATATTTGCTCAATGAAATACAAAATAACCCGTTCCTCATTTCACCACACAGTGCTGATACTGTTTTAATTATTACCTCAAAAGTCATTTGCTTCACAATCACACAGATGAATGTTATTTTAATGGTTAAGTAAAGTTAAAAATTCATCCATTTTAACTTCAATCTAGCAGTGAAAAGATGCCAAAGGTTAGGTTGTCAGGGTCTGAGAGTGCGGTTTACCGTCTTCTTCTTTTAAGTGGCCACATTTTATGTAACAGGAATTTGCTCTCAGTTGGAAAAAGGTCCAGAGCTTGCAGTAAGACTGAGACGCTACAATGAACTTTGAGAACATTCTCGCAGATATCAATGGATTTGGAAGGTTTCAGATCATGATCATTGTGATCAGCTTCATTGGCCGTTTCACTCTTCCCTGTCACTTCATGCTCAACAACTTCATCGCTGCTGTTCCCTCTCACCACTGTGACATCAGATCTCTGGACGAAGAAGACATTTTTAGGAGTTTATCCCCGGCGGACAAGCTTTTTGTGAGTATTCCTGTGCAGGAGGATGGGACTCCAAACTCCTGTCAGATGTTTGCAGAGCCGCAGTATCACCTGCTGCTCAACTCCTCCAACATCACTGAACTACCCACAGTGTCGTGCCAGAATGGATGGGTGTACGATAACTCTACTTTTAAGTCTACTCTGACTTCAGAGGTGAGCAACTTTTCCTTTTATTGATAGAACTTAATATGAACACCTTTTACGATTAATCTCACCCTCTCTTTTTTGTGTAAAAGTGGGACCTGGTGTGTGATAGGAGAGGTAAAAACAAAGCGACCGCTACCATCTTCTTTGTTGGAGTGATGTTTGGAGCCATGTCGTTTGGTAGTCTGAGTGACAGGTATAGATTTTAAACTACTTTACAGCTTTGAATACCTGGTGTTTCAAACAAAGTGGTCCAAAGTAAATTGTGACACTTTCTGTCTTTTAATAGGTATGGGCGGAGGATCATGCTGCTGGTGTCCTATGTGACTGGAATGCTCTTTGCCATTGCAAGTGCTTTTTCTACATCCTACGTGATGTTTGTGGTGCTGAGGTTCTTCACTGGGTTTTGCATCACAGGCATCGTCATAGTCTCGGCAGTCCTCAGTAATTTACTCTTGTTTCTAGATCAAGCTATCACCTCAGAAACCTTGGCTAACAAATGGAGGCCTGAGAAGCCACATTTTATTATGTGTATCAAAAGTATTCTCAGGGTTTGACTCTTGCAAAGTGATCAGGTGTGTTATTTGCAGGTGTAGAGTGGGTGGACATTGAGCACAGGAAACTTGTGGGAGTAATCGACAGCTTATCCTGGACCTTTGGGAACACAGCATTTGCTGCTATCGCTTACTTTGTGAATGACTGGAGATGGCTGGTTGTTAGCGTCAGCTCACCTCTGGTCCTGGGCATCATCACCTGGAGGTATGACTCTAAAATCTCTCATCCTATAATCCTTCAGCATGTTTTGGAGAACTGAAAAATATCTCTGAGTACTTTGTAGCATTGTGCAGGCCATAAGATACATATTAGGGAAACAAAATTCAGACAATGTTTCCACTGAGAAGACGATCATCTCTCAAAGGTATTTCAGTAGTTTGTCAAAGGGATAAAATGAGAGCAAAATCAAGAGTAGCACATAGTCCTAAAAAAATAGCAAACTCTGATGCAGACTACGTCAAAATGTTTTCTTTCTTTCTTTTTTTACCTGATATTCCTGTCTTCAATCTTTCCTGCCATGTTCAATATAATTAACTTGGTCCCTCTAGGAAACGATAACGAGCAGATCTCAGAGATCAACAAAATAGAAATAAAAGATTGCTTTACAAATAATCAATTATCAGCACCTCATCCTCTGTCCTCCATCAAAACCACAATTAATTTGCATCCACTGAAAACGTTGTAATTAGGAGAAGAAGAAATGACTCAAGTGAAGTCACACAAGTCACCTTAGAAATGTTAAAAAAAAAAAGCTGTGATTTTACCAGAAATCTGTAGCCTGTCCCTCATCAGCGCTAGGCTAGCAGCCTGAAAATACACAAGTGGCTTGTGGAATAACACACCTGTAGCTCTGACTGATCTGGTGTGGTTGAGATGCATTGTGGGTAATGTAGGCACCTGGTTTTGAGAAAAAGAAGTGGATTTTTGAAGAGGCCATCTCTGTCTTTTAACATTGATACAACCATGTTGTGATTCAGTATTTCATTTTTTAAATAAAGGCTGTTGAAACATTTGAGATCTCCCGGTATTCAGTGTGTATTCTATTGATATTCGCCTTGTTATGCTGTGTCCTACTGGGAGTTTGATACACAGGTTCTATTCACTGTTCACCACCTTTTTATTAATGCTGTTTGAAATAAAATGATCAATTGTAATAATGGCTTTTTGATAACTATCAGGTGGATGCCAGAATCAGCAAGGTGGCTTATAGCCAATGGGAAACTGGAGCAGGCTCAGGTGTATTTGAAAAACTGTGCCCAGATGAACAAAAGAGAGGATTCAACAGACTCTCTGAAAATTGAGGTATGCAGGGTTTTTTCTCAGTTGATCAAGACATTTCAATGAAATCAACATCAGCATTTAATCTTTCAATTTATAAGGAGTTTCTGTTTTCAAACAAACTTTTCAGCCCTTCAACAATCGTAATCTTTAACAGATGGTGTAAAGAACATTGCTGCTTTGTATTTTTCAGACACTTTCCACCATTGTAGTGACTGAAAAAAGAGAGCGCACCTACTCCTACCTGGATCTGATACGAACACCGAAAATGAGGAGACTAGCCTTCAGCACTGGTATACTGTGGTCTGTATTCAGAAATATACTGGGTCTTTATTTTTCCACAGATCTTCAAGTTCCATATTATAAGTCTGATTGTATCGACACAGGTAATTGTTTGTACTGAATGACGTTTATCTTGCTCTTTTTATAGGTTTTGTGTGGCCAATTCTTTTTACGGCATCAGCTTTAACATCACAGGCTTCGGGCTCAACATCTACCTCACTCAGTTCACTTATGCTTTGGTTGAACTACCGGCCAAAGTATCCGTTTATTACTTACTGGATAAGATAGGCAGGCGGAGGACTGAGGTGGGATCTCTTTTTCTGGCTGCTGTCTGTCTTGGCATCAACATTTTAGTACCTAAAGGTAAAGAAACATTAATGTCCACAGACCTACGCTCAAGCTTTGTAAGGCTATGTGGTTGTTTTTGATGAATTTCACAGTTTCAATCACAGATTAAAGTTAACGAGCATAATATCTTTTCATGATTAAAATGATCAAATGCATAAGAAAAAAAGAATCCTGTCCTGATTTCAGACATGTCCGTGGTGAGGACAGTGGTAGCCGTCATTGGAAAAGGGTTTTCTTCAGCATCGTTTGGCACTGTGGTTCTCTACAGTTCAGAGCTCTATCCCACTGTAGTGAGGTAACTATGCTTTCTTCCCCTTTCATTTATGCCCAAGTTCATACTAAGATGGTCAACATTTTCAATACTTTGATACTTTTCAATACCACTTATTTCAAACTGTATCATCTCCATTAGTTATTTTAATGATGGTATATAAACATAGCGTTGGAAAAAGGTCAGATCTTCTGTCTTTTTTTTTTTAACCAGAAGCTGGTGAGTGACAGATTCTAAATTTCACAAATACATGGGGTGTTTGCATGCTTTTTTTTGGTTATTAAAAACCAGAAATAACCCAATTGGGTGCCTAGAATTTGTATTTTTGTTGGCCTGGTATGGAAGCAGATATCAGTATTGTTTGAGGTTTACTGGTGTCTTGACGGTTTTTTAAATGCTTCAGGAAAACAGATGAATCCTCATACAAAGCTGTAGTAGTAAAATATGCATTTATTGTTTTGTAGGCAGAATGGTATGGGCTGGAACTCGTTCATGGCTCGTCTGGGTGTGGCTGTGGCTCCTCTGATCCTCTTACTGGACGAGGTGTGGAGAGACCTGCCGCAGGTGGTCCTGTGTCTCATGGCTTTACTGGGAGGAATGGTGGCAAGAACGCTGTCAGAGACACGCAACAAGTGCCTGCCAGAGACCATAGAGGACATTGAACAGCACTGGTAGTCCCTCAAATCACTGCTTATGTATTTCAACTGTTAAATTTAGTGGTTCAGTTGATGCTTAAAGTATGATTACCTTCTCATGTTATTAAACTAGTTTTTGTTTTAATGGATATTTAAGTCAATGTGAGCAAAAACTTGATACTGTTTGAATTTTTGATTAACACTTAGTAGTAGCACTGATCTCTTCAAAGTAAATCTTTTACAAATTGTGGCACTAAAGATGTGATCCTTTCTGTTACACCAACTCACAAGCCTTTGTCACAGCTTACACACTGTATGTACATGAGCTACAGGTTGTCAGGTGTTTTAGTTACCATCAACTATTTTGAGAAGTGAAAATTATCCAGATTGTTCCAAGAAAAATGATCCAAATTAATTAATTTAATTTAGTTTGTTTTTGTAGCTCATACAGGGGCATCAGGATGGAGCACAGGAGCTTTGATTTGAGAAAATGTAAAAAATAAATAACTATGTAGGAGAACAATGTCTTCCACCCTATATTATTCATTGTTTATCATCAGCTCCGCCCACAGGATGGGAAGCACAGTTACATCGAGGTGAATACAATATGTGCCATGGTCATTAAAAAGTTTTGATTTGACTTTGTATCGTTTCCTGTTTACACAAACCAGAACATGCTACAGTTTCTTTTCTCTACTGTGTCATAAGATGAGCTCCATGTTATAATATTAATAAATCTAAAACTGACTTTACTGAGACTTAGAGTTATTTTCTTTAAGTTGAGACTATTACCTTGTGTGTCTCAACAACACACATTTTACAATGACAAGATTAACTAATCATTCTTTACACAGAAATTAAGTCAAAGCTCCTTTATTAAAGAAACAGAGCAAGCACATGTGTTTTTTAATTACCAGTACTCAGCAATCCCCTAAAGGAAAGTCAATCACATCTAAATGACATGTTTCTGATATTCCTTTTGAAAATCTTAATAGCCAGGTCTAATATTACTGTTGACATTTCATTACACGTCGTTACAGAATTAACATTGATGGGAACAGAAAAGAAAATTAAAGAAACAAAAAGCAAACAAAATCAAAAAGCCAATTTTTTGAAACATGAACATACAATGATACAGAAAGATCTAAAACTTCAATACGCAGCTGTTTGCCAGGACACTTGTTGGCTATTGTTCAGTACTGGGAATACTCCTTGCTTTCTAGTTTGGCAACGATGCGCTCCAGCTGTCGTTTGGCTTCACACTGTGGGAAGTTACTCATTTCATAGTACTGGGGGGCAATCTTCACCAGCCTGTAGAGGAAAGATGGCACAAAAAGAGCAAGTCAGGAGATTTAGTACAACCAAAGATCAACTCAATTATTCATCCCTTTGGACCAACGATTCATAAATGTGAAATCTCTGGATACATACCACTCTGGTTTGATGTCTGTGCAAGTGCGGATGTAGTTTTTGGTGGTCAGGACAAATTCGTTGTAGAGCACCCACTCAGGTTTGTGGTCCAGGACTGTAGATGGGTGCAGCTGGACCACTTGGTTGTCTTTGACTGTGAGGTAATGACCTGTGCGCTCTAAATGAGCCACCTGCAGGATAGATAACAAATGGATAAATACAAGGCCTAGAAAAAAGATCCCGCAGACATCTCTGGTGCAAAAATAATATACGTGTCTTTTCCAAAGAACTATCAACCCATTTACTCCTCTGAATGTGTTTACCTGCATGAAGAAGCCGGTGCAGAGCGCTCGGCGGATGTTGATGTAATAATCTCTGCTGGTGAACTCTGTGCTCCGGCGCGGCAGGTTAAAACGGTCCATGATCCTGGAGAGCTGCTGCCGCACGTTGTCAGCAGACATCAGTGAGCGGTAGTTGACAAAGTTGTCGTAGCACCACTGGTTAGACTCATGGTCTGCAAGAAGTAACACAACCATTCAAACATGTGGCGAAGTGTCAGGATTTTCACACGGTCAATATAGATATGAAAACCCTTTGATGCTTTTTTTTTTTTTTTATTATTATAAATAATTAATCAAAGCCTTACAACTCAATATGTTGTATCATTGGACAGGTCACAGATGTGCCTGCATTGATGTATGTTTACTGATATCCCCAGACATTAAAGTCTGTGTTCACAGAATTAATGATGCATTAAACAATGTTTCAGTTCAGTCAGTTTCAGTTCAGCCCCGAGCGCTTTGACGGCATAGTTTAGATAGATTTCCAGGCCAAAACTTGACTGTATTCACTTTTAACAGCTATTCAGAGAAGTCACTCAAAAACTTGACGATTCATCTGTATGAAAGTGCTGTTTCCAGGGGACAACACAGAAGGATATTTATAAGACAGGGGGAAAATGAAAGTTTGACAAATTTATAAAGGAAATGTTTGAAATGACCAATGTCCAAACAATCAGGTACAGATTCTGAGACTTACTCTGTTTGAAGGCGTGGTAGACGTTGAGCAGCGTCAAGTGGTCCCCGTCGATGTGAGCAAACCTCATCTTGGACTCGTCTGCTGCCTTCTTAGCCTCCGTGGGGCGGACAAAACACTGTGGGACTAAACAAGGTTGGTATGGGCCCCAACAAAGCCGCCCATAGGGATGAGTCAAACATTCACAGAAAAATGGAGCAAAGCCTATGATGCTAGGGCACTGGACACTGCGCTGGGACAGGGCAGGACCACAAGCTCTATCAAAGGGGGGGCTGCAGTCTTTTCTCATCATCATTCCCAACTGTTATGGCTATTAGCTCGTAGAGAAGGGAGGGGGGGGGGTCATTTAACCACATCTGTAAAAAAAGAGTTTTCACACAACTACAAAGTGTTAGCGACACCAGCAACACGTTGACTTTACAAGATCCAGAAACGTTTTTGGTAATGCAAGCTAACGGTTAAGATTTGAAGTGAGCAGATCATTTTAATAATTCATAGCTGCACTATAAATGATGTACATTCAATATTCACAACACATAAGCTCAATGAAAGAGAGTCATGATAACAGCGATGGATATGAAACTATTCAAGTGGTGCCTGCCCTATCCACTTACTTCAATGTGATGAAATACTCAATCACTTTTTAATAGATTAGCAAAACATACTATGGTCTTGAATTTTAATCAAAATTTAAGAACTTTTATATTTAAGTGAATTGAGCTTTAGGCATCCAAACCAAAACTGAATTTGTGGATTTAAAAGACTTTTTTACGATGACTTGTACGTTCAGATAGAGGCTGCAGCGCTATTACAAATATGGTAGAGCAATACCAATAATGTGCCTGTATGTTATGTTGGCCCTTCACAAACTAAACTCTAGATGGGACACTTTTTCCAACACAAGTCAGTAGTGGTGTGTTTAACCACAAGAGACTTGGCCTACAGAAGGCAAGGAAGAGGTCAGCCCAGTCCTGGGCATTACCTGACAGCATGGCAGTAATGGAAAGGATCTCGTTTGAGCAGTTAAACTCGCAGCTGGCAATGACCATCTTTGCCAGCTGGGGGTCCAAAGGAAACTCAGCCATCATGGAGCCCAGCTCTGTCAGGTCTCCGTCATCGTTCAGAGCAGCCAGGTAGTTCAGCAGCTCGAGGGCCCTCATCAGTGTCTCAGGAGCTGCAGAGGAGAAGACAAACATGTCAGAGATTAAAGCCTAAATATCAACAGCACGTATTACTGTTGAACATAATCTAGCAGCGTAACTCACCTGGTGGATCCATGAAGTCGAAGTGTACAAGATCATCGATACCCAGCTTCTTCAGCTGCAGCACAACAGACCCCAAGTTGGATCGAAGAATCTCAGGGTACGTGTTATCCTGCAGATATTGACGGTGTTATTTACTAAACAAAATGATGAATGTGCAAACAATATCTGTATTTATGGCAAGAACTGGCTACATTAACTGTGGTACTGATTAAGTCTACTTCATAATCCATTAAATTTAAGAAGACAATAAATCTGTTGTCACCTGCATCTCTGTTTTATAGGCCTTCTCTGTGTAGAGGCGGAAACATTTTCCTGGTCGTGTCCTGCCGGCTCGTCCTGCCCTCTGCTGGGCAGAAGCTTTACTGATGGCTGTGACGAGCAGGGACTCCACCCTGATACGAGGATTGTAAACCTGGACGCAGATTTCATTCAGATTGACATGAACACATGAAAGTGGCTGTACTACACACCGGCATTAATTCAATAAAAATCAAGTAAGATCACTTTCAGTTTTCTCACCTTTTGCTTTGCAAATCCAGGATCGATGACAAACACTACACCGTCAATAGTCAGAGAAGTCTCAGCAATGTTTGTTGAAACCACAACCTGAGGATGAAGCAACAGGCTGGATTACTACAAACTAAATCAGGTAAGTACATGCGAATGGAAACACAATGTTTAGACTTCCACAGAGTACGATGCATCATTTAATCAAATTTAAATAAACTTTTCAGATTTGAGTTCAATTCTACCCGTTCAAATATCTTCAGCATACCTTTCTTCCTATAGCACCGTTGGGCTTTCTTGGAGGAGGTGGCTCAAAGATCCTTTGCTGCTGTTGTGGTGGTAACGTGGAATACAGTGGAATGATTTTGATGTCTCCAACCTCGGGTCCGAGGTCGTCTACCTCACGCTTGATCCGTTTACAGGCCTCGTCAATTTCCTGAAGGACAATTTTGATATTTCACTGTTTGTTGAAAAAACAGAACAATACGAGTATCATGAACATTTGAAGTGAACGACTGTTACCTCTTGACCAGTGAGAAACAGAAGGCAGTCTCCTTCTTCTTCTTCACACATGTGAATCTGGATGACAGTGCGGATTGCTGCCTCTAGGTAGTCACGCTCTGGTTCGGGAGTGTAAAAAATCTCTACAGGGTGCGTGCGCCCAGAATAGTCAGGAGGGGACAGCTGTCAAAGTACACCTGAAACTTTCCGGCATCTAGCGTGGCACTCATGACGATCACCTGTGAAGAAAATAATGTTTTTGCTTAATTTGAATCATTTATTTAATTACACTGTAATACATGTTGAGGCTAAATTTGCTGGTTGTCACAGACAGAGAATTGATTTGAAATGTATAGGAGAGGTTTAACAGTGACGCCAGCTTTTGGCGGGACAATTCATTTTCAGCTTTATTATCTTTTTGCAATATTAAAACTTCTGTCTTTCTGCAATGTTTGTCCAGCGAAATCTAAAATATACAGAGAGCCAGCATCTTTGACAAAAAAAAAATATACCTTCAGATCTGCCCTTTGACGCACCACCTCCTTAAGGACCCCCATCAGGATATCTGTGGCCAGAGTTCTCTCGTGGGCCTCATCGAGAATGATGACTCCATATCGCTCCAGCAGTGGGTCATTCATAGCCTCTCTTAGCAACATACCATCGGTCATGTACCTTAAGAAACAGAACAGACAGGCTTTATTGGACTGGAAATACCGGGTGAAGCAATCAAACAGATTACTCTGTGCCAATAAAAAGCAGTTTGTGTGCATTAGCAAACCTTCGATCACTTACTTGAGTATAGTCTTGGCGGAGCTACAGTCCTCAAACCTGATGGAGTAACCCACTTCTTGCCCGAGCATGACGTCCATTTCGTCTGCCACCCTTTGAGCCACGCTCATAGCAGCCACTCTCCTGGGCTGAGTACAGGCTACCGCTCTCTTAGGACCAGGCAAGCCCCTCACCATGTCCACACACCATTGTGGGATCTGGAAATTGAAGCAAAGGTTGCAGTTAACTCTGACAAAATATTTTGAGGACACAGCATTATCTAGACAAGAGAGTCAGGATAATTTCATGTATGTCAGACCTGAGTTGTTTTTCCAGAGCCGGTCTCTCCTACAAGGACAAAGCTCTGATTCCTTGTAATAATATCGCTGAAGCTTTCCTTGTACTCCCACACTGGAAGCTGTAACCTCTTCTTTAGGATCTCGTAGTAGCGAGGTGTATGCGGCAAGTTGGTGAATGGGTTAATCTGCTGGTGCATGGCCATCTGCTTTAAGGGTAATAATGGCACAGCTGGCGTGCTGTTAGGTGCTGCACTAGCGGGCTTCGTATCTCTATCACGGTCCCGGTCCCTGTCCCGGTCCCTATCTCGGTCCTTGTCCCTGGAACGGTCCTCGCGGTCTCTATCACGGTCTCTGTCTCTCCTATCAGAAACAGTGAGAGGCAGGATTAGAATGGCACAGTCAAAATTACAAAAAAAAAAAAGTTCATTACATGGACCTGTTCACAGTATGTGGGATAAATAGCACAAACAGAAAGGTTGACTTCTTGCAAGCATTAACATCACACAACCAAATATTACTGTTGTAGAGTTAGCCATGATAGGGTGCAAAAATGCTGTGCAATTTATCCACTAAATTTTGGGTGAACTTTGACAGATGAACTGTGGCTGATGTGCGTGCATTTGTTAGGGAGCAGGATGAAAACAACAGAACTCAGAGTTAAGCAGTCAGCTATGTTTTGGAAGTTGACATGAGTACAATTTACTACAAAAAAAAAAAAAAGGTGCAATTATGGAGCATCCTGTCTGACAGAGACAGGACATCAACCTGCAGCTTTGTCCTCTATGTGTTTTTGCATACATGTAGGTACAAGCCTTGAATCTTACGTAACTAATTTCTCTATTTGCATGATGTGTCGCTATTTCCACTTGATGTGAAGCACACCATGCTGCCTTGTGTATTAAATGTGCTGTATAAACAAAGTGTGACTTGACTGTGAGCACAGCTTTTTAAGCAGTAATTGATAGCCTATTGACATTTTTCAGTAAACAAAAAAACAACAAAATACTAAAATAAATAGATTGTCTAAAGCAGGGGTCTCCAACAGGTAGCTCGCTGGGCGGGTTTTCAGTAGCTCACCTATAGTTTGACTGACTGTGTTAAAAATAAAAATAAATCTGACTACAGTAAATGCACCTCTTCCCACTATTCATGGCCCATAAAAACAAGTGTAAAGTAGTAATGTTTTCTTGGACCTTGATGTGAATTTTCAGCAACATAGCTTACTATGTGGCACAATAAGAAGTGTAAAATATTCACTTTTTTTTTTTCTTGGACCATGATGTGAATTTAAGATTATTGATAAGCATTGGCTTATTCCAGTTTCACATGTGTACAAACAGCAGCTTAATCCATCTGATGTGCGCTATGTAAATAAATGCAAGCGATTTGATGCAAGTAGCCCTTGGCCACTTTCCTTTTTATTTTTCAAAGTAGCTCTCAGATGAAGAAAGGTTGGAGACCCCTGATCTAAAGAATACTGAGTGCTTTCAATATGCTGCTTAAAACATGTAGTGCATCAAAACAACCACACAGAATCATTTTATATGAGGTCCTGCTTAGAAACCTGTTCAAAAGCTTCAAAGTGACACTACTAAGTATGAATTAAGGAAACGAGACAGTCAGTGAGTGAAGTTCACAATAATAACAATAAAGTGTATTTCCTTTGTAATCTGTCAGACTGGTTAGTGTAACAGAGAGAACGAGGTTTGTAGGGAGATCTTTAAAGATTACTTTTCATCGTAAAATTGCATTTTTATGAAGAAAAAAAAAACAACTCTTACATATTCTGTCTACACACACACACACACATATATCCCCACACACACATACGCGCACACACACGTGCCTCACGGCGAGGGTAACGTAGACGCTCCGTGTGTTAGCTAACACACTACAGTCGTCCTTATGTGAGGTAATTTGGATAATACTCATCACTACCCACGTGTTATATTAATATTCGGGTAAAACGGAGGCGTCGTTGCTAAGACAAAAGAAATCACCCCTAACAACCGAGTCTTCATTTCTTAGCCTTATTGTAACCAGAAATAACTGACAGTGGCTAACAGTTAGCTTGTGCTTTAGCTGGATGTCTCCTGAGCTCCGGAGCTTCACTTACCCTTCAGACCTCTTCTTAGTGGAGGAATAGTCATCGCCCAAATCCAGACGGTGTCTTTTCGACATGTTTTAAAGGTACAAATGTCGCTTATCTTGAATCTATTAACGCGAAACACAGTTCTACCGGGAACTCAAAAGGTTTCCCGTGCTGATACTTTCCTCCTTTCAAATTAATGTTAAAGCAGCGGCTGCAGGTTCCTTCACCGCCACCTGCTGGTCTGGAGTGTGAACTAGTGCTACAACTACAACCACAGGCAAGTGAGAAAGTATAATAATAAATAATAATAATATTAATACTGGAGTGTGAACTAGTGCTACAACTACAACCACAGGCAAGTGAGAAAGTATAATAATAAATAATAATAATATTAATACTGGAGTGTGAACTAGTGCTACAACTACAACCACAGGCAAGTGAGAAAGTATAATAATAAATAATAATAATATTAATACTGGAGTGTGAACTAGTGCTACAACTACAACCACAGGCAAGTGAGAAAGTATAATAATAAATAATAATAATATTAATACTGGAGTGTGAACTAGTGCTACAACTACAACCACAGGCAAGTGAGAAAGTATAATAATAAATGATGAATAATAATAATAATATTAATAATACATTTTCCGTATGGTCAGAACGTATGGCAAAAACAAATGTCTCTGAAATGCTGGTGAAGGATTTTTTTTTTTTACTTTTCTGGTGTGTTCATAGTTGGCCACTGTCAGTCTAATATGCATCTGTGGTGTGTGTGTGTCACCAATATTGAGTGGGGATACAAAATGAAATTAAAACAGTCTGTTAATACAACATTAAAGCATAGAGAAACCATAGAAACTGGTTAAAACCCCCAGAAAAACTGTAATACTAGACTCAGTATATTCAATAAATTGTCGTAATTATTTTTGAATAAAGCCTATTGCAAGAGTTCAGTGCTGTAAAGGAAATCATAATTCCACTGCAGACATTAATGGGTTAAAAATCTGTCATCATTGCTGAAAAGTACTGAAGTAACTAGGTCATATTTACTTAGAATGTAAGAGTACTTACTTTGTAAATTATACAAAAAACCATGAACAAATATTATTGACAGTTCATAACTTGTTTACTATTAGATTTTAAAGCTGCTTAAAGATAAATACATTTTTAAAAAAGCTCCTTGAAAATGAATGCGTCAGTAATTTATCACGGATTTTGCAAAAATGCATCTGCTAAATTTTGCCGACTTGAAAACACACCTCCTCTTGAATGAAGCAGTTGTTGTTGTTGTTGTTGTTTGCAGTGTAGGTTTATGGCAACTCCCTCAATTCATTCAACCATCGCCATCTATCCTGTTAACTCACACCATTGTTACAGAACGAGAAAACTAAGAGGAGGAGCCAGATGCAGATCTAACAAAAACATTTATTTAAACAAAAAGGCTAAACACAAAACATACAACTTACTAAAGGAGAACACTAGCCACGAGGAAAACAGACATCTACTGACATACAAACATCTGACATAACTAACAATGAACTGACACAGAAGGGAAGAAACACAGAGACTAAATAGACATGGGGGGGTAATCAAACACAGGTGAGACTAATGACACAGGTGAAGACAATCAGGGCAATCAAGACTGGAGGGAAAACACACACAGAGAGGCAGGAACACAATACAAGAAACACTGAAGATAACTACAAACTAAATCATGAAACACTAAAGACACACAGAACTAGGACAAAGAAACACAGGTATAGGAAATACAAAATAAAAACTAAGCTCGGAAACAAGAACTGAAAATAGAAACTACATAAGACCAAATCACGACACACCATATCGTGTTTGTTTTGCAAAAGCAGAAGAAGCAACGACACATATTGAAAAGTAGCCCACATGGGTTTACATGGTATTACTAAGCTACACTAATATATAACAGCAGGTTTATTTTATTGTTTTGCTGAAAGCGTCATGACAGAGAAGTAGAGAGGGAAAGCACGCACTTGAGATGATAAAAACCTGACATCTTGTGCTTTAATAGCGGGTTGGTAGACCTCTGCTCCTCCCTCAGAGAACAACGCCTCCCGAGACGCTTATATAAGCCTTTCACGAAACGGTCCCATCCCACGTCCTCAAAGGTTTAACACCAAACGCATCATTTGAGACTTTCGTTATTGCAGCTTTCTTCATTTGCTGACCATGCGTCTGAACGGGTAAGTGGACTTTTTAAAGGCTCAAGTAGCATCTCAGGTCTCTGCATGTCGTCTGTTCAACTTTGTTTGGGGTGGTAAAACTCTGCGACACCATTTTTAATTAAGAGGTGAGGGACCCTCCGTGTGCTTGCTTTATTCAACCACATGTTCTTTGTTGCTATACATCACTCATTACGTTGTGCTTTCACTCTGAATATGTAAACACATCACAGGCGAAGTTTGTTTGATATGCAGCACAGAGTGTGTGAGTAACCCCATGTGACAATAAGGAGCTTCTGATGGAAAAAGTTATCCCAAATAGTGGGAAACTCTTAACTTCAGGGAAATGTACTTTTCACTTCATGACATTCACATCAGAGAAACTTCTCTTTTGTGTATTGAAGTAACTTATTGTTCTAAAGTAGGCTTTCACCTCTAAAGGAACTTTATGTTCTTTCACTTTGCTACTCCACTGCTGGAGAAAAAAAAACAGCTAATTACTTTGCATATTTAAATCATTCAATGAAACATATGATTGTATGCGTTTTAATGGATCTTATTGGAGTAAACATCATTGTATCAAAAGCAGCTTGATGTCAAATACTTATAAATGTTTATCATTTACTCATTACATGATGCAATGTATGTAGAACTACTAACTATCTCAAGCCTTTTAGATTCCTCAATGTATTGACATTTGATTACGTTTTTTTTTAAGTGTGGGTAGCCTTCTGTCTAATATAAATAAGGGGCAAATATCCTGACGATTTCAATATCTTTCAGACCGCTGAGCATACTGAGAGCAGCCCTATTGGTTCTGCTGGCTGGCCACCACCGATGTGTCTCAGGCAGTTATACCCCTCCAGAGGCTCTCGAGAACAATGGCACCATGTTTGCAGTCTGTAAAGTGAGACCCAGCAGCTCTCTACCTAGTGGACTGCTCAAAGTGACCGGCCAAGTGCTGTTCAGACAGGACGAGCACGAAGCACTTGAAGTCCTGCTTCGGTTCAATGGCCTCCCCAAAGAGGGCGCTCAGGATGCCAGAGCGGTACACATCCATCAGTATGGAGACCTGAGCCATGGCTGCGACTCCACCGGAGGCCACTACAACCCAGAAGTAGTGTACCACCCCAACCACCCCGGAGACTTCGGTAACTTTGTGCCCCAGCAAGGTAAAATCAACGCAGTAATCAAATCCCAGGCGTCGCTGTTTGGAGATCAGTCTGTGATTGGAAGAGCCGTGGTGATCCACGAGAAGATCGACGACATGGGGCGTGGCGGAGACACTGGGAGTCTGCTGCATGGAAACGCAGGCCGGAGGCTCGGCTGCTGTATTATTGGGATCTCCTCCTCCACTCTGTGGAACATGCATCATAAGCAGTACACCAGGAGGCTGAGGAAAAATTGATCCTGCAAGTCGACTAACCAGTTTAATCACTCATTGTATCCTTTGTATTCTGTGTGAATCAAAGGCAAATCAAATCTCCAAACATTTTGAGTTTAAATACCTTTTTTAAAATAGAATAATCATTTGCATATATCTTTTAGCAGATAGTTGGTTAGAAGGTCCATAAGTTTGGTTCAGACTATGTTACTAAACTATTGGGTAGACGGCCATGAACTTTAGTGCAGCTGATTGGGGGGGTCCTAGCGCTTATACTTCCAATTCTGCTGATTTTCTTAATCTCTTTTTTTTTTACCCCCATTTAGTCAAGAGTAAAACATCCTTAATGACAAAATTCTGCCAAAATATAATCAGCCTCAGCTTCATGTCGTCATTATCCTTGCACAATGCACGCATGCTGATGTTAGCATTTAGCTGAGGAAACCTTCATTGTATAAAAATGTTGAGCTCTACTTTACAGCAGCATTTTACAAAATCAGCCGTTTTACCACTCACAACAAATCAGGATCTGAAAATTTAATTTTGCAGAAA